TGATACATTGTATAACGGCAGCTAGAATACTCTACGCCAAATACTGGAAAACAGATAAAGTTCCAGACAGGACAGAAGTTATACAAAAACTGTTTAATGTCGCTGAAATGGATGTTAAAATGGAAAGATTAATCTACTTTTGAAAAAAAATTGGATTAAACTGTATAATTGGAAATTGAGTCTGAAGGGTTAGGCCAAAATGTTTAGCTATAGATGGAAGACAAGGCTGCTGTAAGCTCTTCCACAGCAAGTTTGTATAAATTATCGATTACGTGTTTGTTCATGGCTTTGAAGAAAACGTAATAAAAATATACTTTTTTTAAAAAAAGGAACTCTTCTAGAAGGCAGGGTTAAGCTGCCACTGGTACTGGGGTGGTGGTGGATGTTCTTCTGCCTTCCTGAAATTGTGTGGGCGGAAGCAGCTCCCATCTGAGAACTTCATCCTGGTTGGCTGGAAGGCAAAAAAAGGTAATAAGTAGGAATGTACTTCCCATTGAAAAGAATGTAAGCATCACCAAAACAGAACATTTTCTCTGTCTAAGCACAGGTCGTAAGGAGGGGGGGGGAATTTATGAACCCAATGAGGTCAACCTGAACCACATTATTGTGCGATTGCCCAAAGTGGCAGAGTATGGATTTGAACCCAGGTCTGCCTGATTCTCACATGACATGCTAACCACTTCATCAGACTGAACTAGCCAGACAGGTCTGGAGGCTCACAGGCATGAACGAGATCCCCCTACCAATCCCTGTGTTTGTCCCCATCATTGTGTATTCTGAAGTCACAGTGTCTGAGAGGTCTTGTCGAAAGCGAGAGCATTCCCACTGGATGAGCTTGGAGGTTCTATTGAGCCACAGGCAGATTTCTCTTAATGGGCAACAATTATTGGGACAGTGATCCCATTGACCCAGCATCACAGGACGCCAGACACACACCAGCCTCCATCATCACATGGGAGGGGAGTAAACTCCAGAAGTGACTCATACTTTGACTAATCAATTTTCCTTTCATTTTTGCCACAATGGGGCACTTTTGCAAATGGAAATTCCCCTGTTTTGTAAAGGTGAACAGGCAATTTTGGGTCTGGGGAAGAGTGTAGCTTACCACGGCACAATATTGGTTCAGGAACAGTAACTTTTGAAAGATTCTGTTGGTTGGACGTAGGCTACAGGGTTACCCCAGATCAGTGTTCCCTCTAAGCTGAGTTAGTGTGAGCTAGCCCACAAGTTTTTCGCCTCTAGCTCACACATTTTTGTCTTAGCTCGGGAAGGATGACTCCAGAGCAAACCAAATTCATGCAGCAGCCAAAGCGCTCACTCACAACTTTAATGCCAGTCGCTCACTAAGTAAAATTTTTGCTCACAGGACTCCACAGCTTAGAGGGAGCATTGCACCAAATGTCCTCTTTTTTTTGGTGTCTGTCCTCTTTTGAGCTTTAAGACAAACCAACAAATGGAAATGTCTTCCTTTGGGTTAGGAATATTCCTAGTTCGTCGCAATTACCCAGCAACACAGGGTGCCAGAGCACCCCAGGGTGTATCAAAGCCTCCATCACTGCAGGCAAGGGAAGTAAATCCCAGAAGTGACTCATACTTTGACTGACCGATTTTCCTTTCACTTTTGCCACAATGGGGCACTTTTGGAGATGGAAATCCCCCGTTTTGCAAAGGCGAACAGGCGACGTGGGGTCCGGGGGTAGGAGGAGGCAGGGCGGCTCCAGCTTATTTTGCACCCCAGGCGAGGATCCCATCTGTCGCCGCATGCGCCCACCGATTTTCAAAAATAAATGCATTTTAGGAAGAATGAAAAACACAAATAATCAAGAAACTCCCAGAGTATGGGGCCGGGTGCAGTTTGGTGCCCCTAAGAGCCGTCCCACTCTAGGCGATCGCCTAGTTCGCCTAGTGAGTGAGCCGGCCCTGGGAGGAGGAGTCTTTCAACGGAGATCTGTCATCAAGCGCTCAGTTGCTTGAAGGAGTCCGTCGGGGAATCTGTCCTCTGTCTCGCTCTTCAACAGGTGGTAACGCCAAGGGAGAGGCTTCCAGGTCCCCGACTGCCGCCCGCCCGCTGCTTCTGGCAGGCAAAGGCAGGCTGCTCCTGGCCATGGAGGTTCCATTCAGCCCCCACGACTGATGGGCGGGGCGGCGGAAGGCAGGCTTGGCCGGGGCGGGCGGGAGGAGAGGCGGGGGGAGCGGAGCTGACCGGGGGCGCCCCGTGGGTGGGGAAGGCGAGCCGAAGCGCTGCCCGCTCGAGGACGCGT